CTTCCCATGGTGGGATGGGGAGCAGCAGCCAAAGGATGCCTGTGGCACTGGCCCGGTGTTCCCCGTGGTGACAGTGCTCCTCACAGCTGGATGGCTGCTCCTGTTTGTTGCTGGGAAGGGAACATGCACCTGTTCTGGTAAATAAGGACTCAAGAATTAAATGCCATCCCTGTAAGGTCTGTCCTTGCACAGAGTCTTACTGATGGGATTTATGGGTTAAAACCCCAGGTTTTGCTGCCCTTTGTCCCTCTGATCTTCTTCCTGGCCTCCCCATACCTCATCCTCCCTGGAGGGCAAATTGTGGATGTCAGGATGGGGGAAAGACTCCCTGTTCTCCTGCACTGAAACCACAGAACATGGTCGATGAATAACCAATAAATTGATGAATAACCAAAAAATTGATGAATAACCAATAATAAAGTTATTCTCGATGAATAACTTTACCCCCCAAAAAAGCAGAGAAAAAGATGAAGTGACTCACATGACTCAGTGAACCCCAAAACCGAGTGTGGGAGTGAGACATTTGGGTTTGTTGTTGGAGCATGGTCTGGTGAGGAGGTGAAGGATGGGCCAAGGTCTTCAGCAGGGTCTGGGGGTGCTCTGGGGTGGGAGAGGAGCAGGAGGAGCTTGGTCGGGTTGGCTGTGGCCGCTGCTTTGAATTTGGGAGAAAAAGCTTTTGAGTTTTTCAATGCTTTTTGTGACAAGGCTGGGGACTGCCAAGTCGAGGCAGATAGGAAGCTATTTTGGGCCTGGCTTTTCCCTTTGCCTGGGTCTTGGCACAGGGCACCTTGCCTTAAATGCAGTGTTATCACTGCTGTTATCCAGCTGCTCAGAGAGAGCAGGGAGAAAGGCATACCTGTGGAAAATGAACTGAAATTCCCTCTTTGTCCCCTCTCTGCAGTGCTGGAAAATGGCATGAGATGGGCTGGGGGGCTGTGCCAGAGGTGCCCTGGTACATCTGGATGCAGCCTCTGCTGCTGGGGGATACAGATTCACATGGGAGCCCCTGAGATCTGCAGAATTTGTCCCTTTGGGGAGAGTTTTGGGCACAAGACAACCCCCAGATCCATGGAAACACCCTGTGAAGGCCAGGCTGTCTCAGCTGCCTTCAGAGTCCTCCTTCCCCTATAAAAATGAGGTTTCTGTGCCTGGTTATAAGGTTCCTTTCAAGCAATCAAATAAAGACATTTGAAAATTCCAAATTGGAGATTAGTGCAGAAACTGGAGACGGATTTAAATTGCCCCAGCTAATCACCAGCC